TATGCAGGGGGTCGGACTCGATGATCTATTGAGGTCCCTTCCGACCCTAACATCTATGAATCTATGGAAGTGCTCCAGGCACAGGCACTAATGTGACCTCCAAAACCACCCCTTATAGTCCCAGTCCAAACCACCAGTATGAACAGCAACATAAACATGAACCCGTGGGCTATAACATAATAATAACAGAAACAGCCCTCTGCCCCTTTAAGAGAGCAAACCTTTACCCTTAGTATAGCATGCCTCCCTACCAGGGTATCTTATGAGCTCTTGGGGCCTCACTACTGCTGTAGGCAGCAAAACAGGCAGTCAGGAATCCCTAGGTATCCCTCCTAGGTAGGAGCTCCTTCCCCAGCAGCTACCAAGGAGAGACTCCCCTGCCAACCCCAGCCTTGGACTTATATCAGGGGTGGGCAAAATGCGGCCCGCAGGCCAGAAATGGCCCACCAAGCCATTCTATCCAGCCCAGACAGCCCCTAAAAAATTTAGAAAATTCATATTAATCTGCCCTGGGATACCTATCATGTAGCCCTCAATGGGTTGCCAAAACTCAGTAAGCAGCCCTCTACCCACAATAATTGTCCACCCCTGGCTTATATGCTCCCTGGGCCCTGCCTCCATATGGTCAGCTGACCACTTGCAGGTGTCTGCTAACTGCCTCATTTGCCTGGTTGCCCTGGCAACTGGCAGCTGCTGTGCCCTGCCTGGCTGGGCTGCCTTTATCTTAAAGTAACAGAGGCTAGGCTCTCTGTTACAGGGCTGTTTTGGATTCTGCCCCTGTTGCCAGTTTGCAAATGTAGCTCATGTATTTGGTCCAGAGGAAGAGTAGGACGTCTGTCATTCCTCTGCCTCCAGACAATTTCACTTTGTATAGCTTGGTCCTTGCTACTTTCTCCCAGGTGGAGTTCTAAAAGAAAACACAAATGGCTCTTTGGATTCTGCAGATGACTTGCTCTGAGGTGGGGAAGATTGTAGCGCTGTATAGGAGCATAAGCAGAAGCACCGCTTTCATCAGCACCACTCCCCACTGCCCCGCACTGGCAGGCAGCGCAATTGCCATAGTCCCAGCTTCTGTTTGGCTTTGGACTCTATCTTTTCCCATACCCTGTCCCATCAGCTCTGGGTCAAACTCCACCCCAAGGATCTTTACCCCCTCGCGGGGGACAGAGACCCCTAGGTGTGGCAGGTCCTCCAGGTTGCCCAGGACTAGGCAGGTGCTTTGTTTCATGTTGAGCTTGGCCCCTGCTGCTACTCCATATACCATTGCGCAGATAAGCAGGATTGGGAAGAGTGGGCAGCCCTGCCTCACATCTGACTACACCACAATCGGGGCTGTCAGGGACCCGTTCACCAGTATCCTGCTGCTCACGTTGGTGTAAAGTGCCTTTATTCAGGTGACAAAGGTTGCAGGGACCCCCATCTTCTCATCATCTTCAGTAGGAAGCAATGAGATACCTGGTTGTAGGCCTTCTCCAAGTCAAGGTTCAGCATCCCGATATTCTGTCACCTCTCCCATTGGTACTGTAGCACACCTTGCAGCTGCATCAGGACTTTGTGGATCTGTCACCCCAGCACCATGCATGCCTGGTCCTCATGGATCACTGCACCTATAACAGAATTAAAACACTCAGCCAACACTTTGGCCATTAGTTTGTAGTCAAGGTTCAGGAGCATAAATGGACCCCAGTTTTGAAGGTTCCACCTCTCCCCCTTCTTGTAAATAAGGATTATGAGGCCCTCGTTCATCTCCGCTCCCAGGTGACCGTCCTGCAGGAGCTCCCTATAGACCTCCAGCAGGTTCGGATCCACCTGGTCCCAGAAAGCAACATAGAACTCCTTGGGCAAGCCCCAGGAGTCTTACTGTCCCAGAAGCTGCAGAGCATCATGTTGATCTCCTCCAGTGTCCACTCCTCCCCCAGCTTCTGTCCCTTGTCCTCCCCAAGAACCTGCATGAGTTTCTGCAGGCAGTTCTGCATTGCCCCAGGGCTCTGCAGTCATGCCATGTAGATTCCAGAAACCACCATCTCCAGCAACTCATTTTACTGGTGCTCCACCCCAGCTCTGTCTATCAGGCTAGTCATTGCTCCTTTCTTATTTTCCTTTATCTTGCTAAAATAAACAGACCACTCTCCCCCCTCCTCTACCCAGGTGACCTGGGCCAGGAAGATCTTCCTGGCCTGTTCCCTGTGCCAGGCCTAGGGTGGCCATCATAGAGGACAGTCCGGTTGTCCTTTATCCTCTGTTGATACGAAACGGGACACCTTTATGTCCTCTATTTTTCTCCTCAAGAGAACTGTGTCCTCAAAGTTGAAATATTTCTTTATGTTGAGCAACAGCAACAGCAACTGTCACAGTCAGATGAACGAAGGGCTCAAAGCTTGTAACCAGAGCTAGAACCAAAGGGACAGTGTGACTATAACCAGAAAAGGGTTATGGATGGGAGTGTAGGTACGTGAGTGCCATCACTGTAGCAGGTGCGTGGATGTGAGATTTTGTGGTACAGCCATGATGTTTTGAGACTGTTTGGGGTAGGGAAGCCAGTGGGCAAGTTGCATGGGGTTGTGGGTCCTTCAGTGTATGTATTGTAATGGGTTTATAGGTTTTGTTGAGTGAGTTAAGGTATGGGAAGAAAAGTGTATGTGTATATGTGTGTGTGTGTGTATATATATATATTAACAAAAAAAAAAGGTTTTGAAAATGAGTTAAGGTTTGTGAAGAATGTATGCTAGATGGTGTGTGTATGTATGTATGTGTATATATATGTGTGTGTGTGTAGGGACATATCTTTCCAAAAACAAACGAACAAAATCTTTATGTTGAGGCAAGCAGTCACAAAAAAGTGGTGACAGCAAACCCCCAAGTCGGTTAAGACTCTGAGACTGACTTAGGTTTTGCCCTGCTGCATCAACGAGCTGCCTTACTGACTATTGTCCACTTGAGCACGCTCACCACGATCGATCACCCATTGTACTAGGGGGGACAGGATCCTACAACATGGTCGCTCTTGTCCACCCGGCAACAGTGGCGGGCTCCGGGCCCTGGCAGGCTCCAGCCCCCGCGCGCTCTCACCAACACCCGGAGCCCGCCCAAAGGCCAAGCCGGGGAGGCGGGATCCTCCCCTAAGCGGGGAAAGGAAGCGAGGAAGAGGAGGAGCTCTGCGCACCCTGCTCCGCGCCGGG